AACTGTAACGGATAAAAATAAAAAAGCTACTTAACTCATTGCAATATTCACAATGCTGATTAATTTTTTCACCACAGAATATATTGTCGTAATTCAATATATATTACCCAGCCCTAGTGATTATAACTCTTTAGTCTTTGCAGCAGTATTGTGTTTAGTACCAGAACAACTCATCATCCACTCTTCACTGTCTCAGCATTTTCAACTGCATTCATTAATGCAACATGTGTGCATGAATATTTCAGAGAACAAAAAGATGTATACGCTTGCCATTGATGTCAAACTGCTCTTCACTTTCTCTTCCTGCACATTACTCAGCTGTCCATCTGTTTATGTCCTTTATGTGTGTTGTAACTTTGTTCTCGTCCAAACCCTTTCACTAACTTTAATCAACTAACTTAATTTTGGGGGCTGGTCTGCATGTCCTTGAATTTGTCCAAATTATGCTAGCAACCCACTGTGCTATCCTTGGTGGTGGTAACTACCCTTTAAATGTATCTGATATTCAAGTAATCTCTCAGAAACTCTACTGTGTCTGTTGCCATTTCCAAACCAAGATCTGGTTTCATATCTATTCATAAATTCTAGCATTATTGATTTTTGTCATTCCAGCATCATTTTATTGGATGGTGGTGGCTACAGAGTCAGTAACATGGGCATCTGTTAAGTTGGGCATTTGTTCATACTTCAACTAGACACCCAACACCATTCCATCTGTTCTTCCTTTTTTGTTCTCCATCCCTCCCTCTCCTCCTTCCCAGCAGTCACTCAATGACAAGCGTAAAAAGAACCTCTTTTCGCGAAAATTCCCTTTCTACAAGAACAAGGACCCCAGCGAACAGGAAACAAGCGATGTGGAGCGTAAGTACATTAGCCGTGTGCAGGGCAGGGTAGCGTCACACGCGGCTACACCAACACCGCTGAACAAAACTCCTGCTTCTGTAACAACCCTAAACATGACGGCTAATTTGGTTGATCTCTTCTACTGTATGTCATTGTGAGATAATTTAGGGGACCGTATGTCCATCGAAAACCACTGAAGTCTCCATATCTGGGTTTGTTGTGAGGCAGGAGCAGTGTTCATCGGTAAGACGTGATATATTGTTCCAGTAATCATTGTTATTTTTGTGGTTTTCTCTTGTTCCGTGCTCTCTGCCGACTGCTCCACAGGACCTGAGTGACGACAAAGGCTTGAGTAAGTCCACAAAGGCCACAGCAGACCTACAGAACCCCACCGGCCCCACCAAACAAACTCCCTTTATTCCCCATAAATCTCTCTTACACGTTTAGCAGTGATGTTCGGTTAGAATTGTGTTGTCTGCAGCCTGTGTTATATCTAGATGGCTGTAAAACACAAGCTTTGCAGATCCAGCGCTATGTTCAGGTCCTTTGTTGTCCACTATGCCCTTAACGTGTTAATTCTGCTCCTCTTAACATTATTATGATGTTCACTGATACTAGTACTAATTTATCGAAACAAAGAACACAATTACCACATAGCAAACATAGTTTACCATACAGCAAATAAATCAAATGAAAGTAACATCTGTAAAATAGTGAATGCACACTTACTCTAAGATTCTGAATGGAGTTGAAAACTGAACGAGCGTCCCCTTACTGTGAGAGATGCAGGTGAAGGCAAGAGTGGTGTATTCAGTCCTAAAAGAATTTTATAAACAAGACATGTTAAGCTTTCTATAGATATATCTCCCATGTGTGTGTGTAAAATATTCGATGAGTTTCAGTTCATTTTAGTGACGCGTTTCAAACAGATATGCGCGGAGAATGAGACGGCTAAAAGCACACCCTGTTTATTTTCTTTATTTTGCAAAAGCACAATGTTTTGTTGATATTGTGAGTGTACACAAATAAAAGTAGACCCTTTACAGATTTAAATGCTGTATTACTCTTATATGTACGGTCAAGTATGAAGGAGCATTTTAGTTCTTTTCGCTGTTATCATTCAAATCTGCAAAAATTTCCGCCGGCGGAACTGTCGACCCCAGGAGGTTAAAGGGGTATAGGTCACCCAAAAATGAATTTTCTGTCATAATTTTCTAATTTATAAATTGGCATAATTTATGTGTTGTTTTATACCAGGATGGAAACATGTTTAACCATGACAATAACACAATTAAATTTATGGTGGCAGTTTCTAGAGTATTGCTTAAAGTAATGGTTCACCCAAAAATTTAAAAAGTACTCGCGTCTTTCCAAACCTGTATGCATTTCTTTCTTCTGAAGAACATAAGATATTTTGAAGGATGTTGGTAACCATGCAGTTTCATGTCCCATTGACTTCCATTGCATGGACAAAAAATACAATGGAAATTGATGCGAACTGAACTGGTTTGGTTACCAACATTCTTCAAAATATCTTCTTTCATGTTCCACACAAGAAAGAAATTCATACACGTTTGGAACGATGTGAGGGAGATTTTCATTTTTGGGTTTACTATCCCTTTAACAACATTTGCCTTATAAATGCATTGATTAAATAGTGGAGCTTATTATGGCTAATACTTCGGTGTAGGGTTTCCTAAATGGGGGTTTGTGAGTTGATGAAAAGATAATAAGTAATTAAATTGAATAGAACATTAAAATAAACAAATGGTGCAGCACAATTAACTGACATAAAACTAAAATAGTGATATATTATATTCAGATTCTCATAAGATTTTTCCAACATTTTTGTTCCAAAATGAACAAAACCAGTATTCTGCCAAAAAATAAAAACTTGAGGATTTCATATGTTAAAAGCTCAAGGGTTTGAATATTTGAAAGTAAAGAATTTAAGAAATAAATATTTGTATTGTAAATAAATAATGTATAATTGAAACTGAAAATTAAAACAACCAAAATAAAACACTTACTAGAAATAAATAGATTTGATATTTTTATCTGTTTCCTTGGATGTCGTGACCATAAACCAACACCAGAGAAGCGTGAACATGCAAATTAAATTAAAATCTCAAGGGATACTTCAAGTAAATATTTTACTTCTAAGGGGTTCAGCTGACAAAAAAAGTGTGGGAACCCCAGGTTTAGGTCTTTGAACAAATGCCTAACCCGAAGAATTGAACATTGGTGTGTAACTCGCATCTTTTGCTTTACTTATTCTCCCCACTAAGCAATTGAACATTATTTTTTGCCTAGTGAATCTAAAAAAAATCCTAGTGCTTGGGGTGTGGGCTCTTTTAACTTGCCAGTATGCAACCACCTAGCAACTGCGCAGCAATGCCTTGGAAACCATGCACAAGACCTTAGCATTGGAGCAGCGAGTTTTGCACCATTCTGTTTTCTTCAGAATATGTAAAAATGTAGTTACTGCTGTGATTTTGCTTCGGGAGATGAGTTTGAGATGTGCTTTTGGGGACAAATCAAGTTCAAATAATGCTAAATTTAACTCTCATGTTCTGTTTGATGTGGGCACTGAGATGAGATACATGTCTACATTGTGATACAGTCTTCAATCATTTCTACGTACTTGGTCAAATCAAAAATGCTAAAACAATATGAAGGGAAATCAGAAGATAATTTTTAAAATAACTTTTAAAACGTTTTGGGTCCGTAATATTTGAAAGGATTATCATATGCTCACCAATACTGTATTTATTTGGTCAAAAATACAGTAAAAACAACAATATGTTGTGATATATTTTCACAACTTAAAATACTTATTTTCTATTTTAATATATTTTAACATGTAATTTATTCCTTTGATGGCAAAGCTGAATTTCAGCAAGCATTACTCCAGTCTTCAGTGTCACATGATCTTTCATAAAATATTTTTATTTGTTGATTATGTGCTAATGAAAGATTTCTTATTATTATCAACGTTGAAAATTAGGGTTGGGCCGATAGACGATGCCATCGTCCATCGCCGATGGCTGCTAGACATCACGATGTTGCGCCGGCATCTGCAAGAATCTGCAAATCAGTCGCCATCGTACACCGGACGCAACAGTTGTCGTGTCGCGCCACATCAGCTAAAGTCTGTCTACACTGGACATTTGAAATTTGTGTCAGCACGTCATAAATAAAACGTGGCAGCAGTTTACTGTCAGAGATTTGTCGTGTCACGCTGCACCGCGCCGCATCAAGAGTAGACAGCATCACTGATTATAATGAGTTCTATTGACTGATTTATATATAATCTCTATTATAGATCAGTGGTTCTATAGTATTTTGTCACGCTGCGCTGCTCGCATCCGGTGTAGACACGGTGTTAGGAATCGTTAGTTGTTTTCCCTTATAAGGATTCACGCTTCGGGCACACACATCGGGCCCCCGCCGATGTCATCGTCCATCACGATGTTTCACTGTAGACATCGTCCAATGCCAAATTTGTAGACATCGCCCAACCCTATTGAAAATAGTTGAACTGCTTAATATTTTTGTGGAAACTGAAATACAGTTTTTCAGAATTTGTTCTTTATTTTTTGATGAATAGAAAGTTCAAATGAAAATCATTTATTTGAGATCGAAATATTTCCAACATCAGTGTCTTTACTGTTAGTTTTGATCAATTTACAGGGGTCATGAACTGAGAAATCAAATATCCTTCTAACTTTTGACATATAAGGGGTCATTGTGCTATAAAAACATTCTGTAAGTTTCAGAACTCTCTCCTTAGTCTAAAAACTGCTTATATTGAAGCCAATCTGCCAAAACGACAGCTTGTGGAATTGTGCCACTTTATGACGTAATCGTGTGGCTGAACACCACCTCCGCAGAAGATGATCAACGCCTGCTTCTACATCACTGCCTATTTAGCTCCGCCCACTGATTCACCCATATAGTGTAAATAACGAGAGAGGCAAAGGCAGGTCCAGACAGAAACCAAACGATAAACTTTATTTGATGAACTTTATTTTTAATGAATTTCCAGACCGCATCATTAAGAACTTGGTCCTTTGTTCACTTCATTTTCACTTCATATTAGTTTACAAACAAGGCACAATTTGACGCAGGATTTTCAGAAAGATTGAAACTAAAAGACGATGCTGTGACGACAATATTGGATCTGACAGTAATGTTGCACCACACAAGTGTGAGTAACTGTTTTTATGATGTGGTCACTATTGCTTTGTCTGTTATTACTGATCGTTTGATATACTGAGTATTTATGTGGTTTTTTTCACAGCAGCGTTCCTCTATGAAGGCTGTAGGCTGTCAAACATACACAGCTGTTAGCCAATCATAGCAGTGGGTGTTTACTTCTGAGTCTACAATCCACCACACCTATTCAAACAGAGCGTTCCGATGAGGAGGGTCAAAACAAGACAGAAAATAGCCTATTACTACTAAATTATGATTTTTTTTTTTATGTCAAAGTCTTGATAACATTAAGTGGACCTCAGAGAACAATACAAAATAAAAAACAAAGGCAGTTCATGACCCCTTTAATGTATTCTTGCTAAATAAATGTATTCCTTTCTTTAAAAATAAAATAAATTAAAATAACCCCAAACTTTTGAATGGTAGAGTGGAAACAACAGAACATGAGGGGTTAAGATCAGCATGGCTGATAGGAAAAGGTTATTTACAATCTTCCATAATGCCTAAATGTTTAGTATATGTGTCTTCTCTTAGGCTTCTACATTGAGACACTTTTAGGTGGTGAAGTGGAGCCCCTCTGTCCATCAATGTTCACTGCACCATGACTGTGTTAAGACCCCCCGACAGTTTTTCTTACATTCAGAGGCAATTAGATGATGAGATGTTTTTCTTTGACTGCTATAACTGTGTCCAATTCCGAGTATTGGACACCATACTTGACTACATGTCACGTCACTTTCACTTCACATGTTTCATACTTGTTTTATAGAAGCAAATTTATGATAAATTGAACAAAATGAGATGAGCTTCAAAGCCTCAAATGTCCTGCACAAGTTCTTAACACTGCCATCTGCTGGTGACTGATCTTAGTGTTGTGTCTGACATATTCCTGCAAAGCTGGTTTTTGTGTCTGTAGTGTTTATTTTCCTTCTTTATGGTTTCAGAGCATGTAACTTCTAATGCCAGCGATAGTGAAAGTAGTTACCGTAAGTTTGCGTTCCCCTTTATTTCCTTTCATCGTTGTTATTGAATTCATCTCTTTAAATTTCATGAGTTTGAGTGTTTATTTCCCTTTGTTCCCTCAGCTTTCCTTTGTGTTATATGCACACACATACTTGAAAGATGTTTACTATTCAAGACCAGCATCAGAGTCAAGATTTTACAAAAAAACAATTTAATGTAATATTTCAAATAAAATAGATATTTAGATCTTTTTAAAAATGCAGTAGCAAAAGCCAAGATAATTACAACACACTATTGATTTAGCCGACAGAAGCTTCTTTTTCTGTACTATGCTTTATAGTTCATAAGCTAGCTATATGATTTGCCCTACATGGCAGTTTCAGGTGATAAAACAGGTGCTGGTTATCTGTGCACCTTGCGTAGTGATCATGCTGGGGACATAGCATATTATGGCCTGGAATATTACCTTCAAATAAGATGTCACAGTCATTTGAACAACCTGTGGCTTTCAGTAGTTTTATAACTCGCCTGCCATTCACATCGAGTGGTCTGAAAAACCTCTTGAACTTTGTTAATGCTACATGGCTCTCAAATCTCATCTGAACAGAGTGTGAAAATTAGAGACTACTGTTCAAAACAAGAGCAAAAGAAATGCTCAACATCAGATTTCAGTTACATTTCAATCTCACAAGTCTCTCGCAGTCTTTTAACCTGTTTAATCATGTATACACTGTTGTTCAAAGGTTTGGGTTTGGTAAGATTTTTAAATACATTTTTATTTATTTATTTTGTAAATATTATGCTTGATGCTTTTCAAAGCTCATCAAAGCATAAATACAGTAAAACCTGTAATATTGTGTAATAAATTCTTTATATTTAAAAACATTTTCAAATGTATGGCAAAGCGGAATTTTCAGCATCACATGATTGTTCAGAAATCATTCTATGCTAATTTGGTACTCAAACCTTCATTTTTATCAATGTTGCAAACCGTTTGAAAACTGGGATGCAGTGTTTTTTTCAGGATTCTTTACTGCTACATTTAATTAATGTGTGCTTGCTGAATAAAAGTATTAATTTCTTTAGAAAAAAAATCTTACTCACCCCATACATTTGAACAGTAGCGTACATCATGAATAATTAGTTAATTAATGTCCTTTAGCTGTTAGATCACATGCTAAAATCCTCTCAGAGAAGTTGCTGTATGAGAGTATCTAAGACATATTCAAGATGAAAAAAATAGTTCCACTTTTGAAAACATGTCTCTGAATTCTAGTAGATGCTTCTCAAAATCCTCTGATTCAGAGTTCATGCGAGTTCAAACTGTTTGTAACTCTGAGGAGTGTTTTACTAACTTTAGTTCAGTCTATACATGCATGTTGGGTTAATTAAATTTAACTACACAGTACATGAAGATTTTTTAACTCAGTATTTCTGTCTCTACTAGGTGGACAGGAAGAGTATGTCCTCTCGTATGAGACAATCACGCAACAGGAAGGTGAGTGTCTTTCATTATGGCTTTCTTTTATTGTGGTACATTGGTTAATATCACTTCATTTAACTGTCAGTGTGTAATTCTGCTTGACTGATTGATCGTAAGGACCCATTGTAAGGTTATTATTGTGGTTTACAGTGAGTTATGCTCGTCCAGTGATTGTCCTTGGACCCATGAAAGACCGGATCAATGATGATCTAATCTCTGAGTTTCCGGACAAGTTTGGATCATGTGTTCCCCGTGAGTACATAATCACGGTTTTATCGTTTCTTCTGCAGTATTTCATATCATCTGCATTGTTTTAATGGCCATTACTGTACTTTGACCAGACACGACTAGACCAAAGCGAGACTACGAGGTTGATGGCAGAGACTACCATTTTGTTATTTCACGGGAACAAATGGAAAAAGACATTCAGGATCACAAGTTCATCGAGGCCGGCCAATATAACAGCCACCTCTACGGGACAAGCGTGCAGTCAGTGCGAGAGGTTGCAGAAAAGGTGAACGAGTTCCACTTGTTAAGAAGTAATAAAGGAACTTATAGCAGTAATAAAAAATTTAAATAAATAATAAAAAAAAAAAAAAAAATTTTTTTTTTTTTTTGTGAGAGCGACATGCTGACCTTCAGATTTGCATTGCGCAGCATTTTTCTCAATTTTCACAAGACGATCTGTTTTTCATTGTTCTTTAAGGGCAAGCACTGCATCCTGGATGTCTCAGGCAATGCCATCAAACGACTCCAGTTAGCACAGCTCTACACCATTGCGGTGTTTGTGAAACCCAAATCAGTGGAGAATATTTTGTATGTTATTTTTACTGTTGTATCAAAGGCTCATCAAACACAATAAATGCTAAAGCTTGATTATTTTTGACTGATTGGCACTAGTAATGTGTCCTCTGTGTCCTTCACAGAGAGATGAATAAGAGATTGATGGAGGAGCAAGGCAGGAAGACTTATGACAGAGCCATGAAACTGGAGCAGGAATTCCTAGAGCACTTCACCGGTGAGAACAATAGAGTAAACTTACCCACATCCCAGTCAGCTGTAACCTTGTAGACCTGTCCTGCAACGAAGCCATGCCCTGCATTTAAAGTATTTTGACACACGCATCCAATTTTTCATTCCATTCCAATATTCATTTATAGGAATGGATCACTAAATTAAAATTCTGTTATCATCTGCTCAGCCTTATGTCATTCCAAACCTGTACAACATTCTTCTGTGTAACATAAAGAATATATTTTAAAAAAAAAATTAAAAAAAAAGTTGTTTTTTGCTGTTCATACAGTGAAAGTTAATAGGGTCGAAAATAACATTGGACCCCAGGTAAATTTCATTGTATCGACAAAAAATAAATAAAATATCTATTTTTAAATAACTCCTTTTAATATTCATAGAAGTACGCTGGGAGAGTCAATGATGGCAGAATTTTCATTTTTAGTTGAAGTTTTCCTTTAAAACGTAAAAATCATCATTTGTTGATAAAAGCCAAGCTTACTGATTATAATCTGATTAAAAAGTACTCATAATTTGCACAAAACCACTGCCATTCAAATAATAAATAGGTTGTGATTTTTTAATAAAACATCACAAAAAGGTGGAGGATGTGCATCTTTACTGTGTGGTTTGTGGTTTTATATCTCCTCACAGTAAATAACCTTCAGCCAGAGGAAAGATTGCCTGGAGTATTTCCAGGAGTTTTGACTGGAGTCTTACTATATGATGTTTATTTTCAGTTTAATTCAGTATTCAGAATAAATAAATGTTAAATTTTCCAAAACAGAACATTAAAAGAGGAAGCAATCAGTTTGGAATAAAAAAGTGGGGACAGACCTTTGAAAACAGACCCACTGCAAATGCCCTTTAGTTTCTTTGTATTGGTGCTTACACAAAAGATTTTTGAGTTTTATATTGCTGTAACAATACAAACATGAAATGTAGCAACAACAGCTTAATTCACACAGATTTTGAAATATGCGTTGACCAACAAAAAGTGCTGCTTGGTTTGAAAGTGGCTTCTGTATGAGGTGTGCTTCATACCTCACTACATTAATGACTATCGACAATGAACCTTTTTTGCTGTGAAATTTCTCCAAAATGTTGCTAATGTGGCTGCACCTCAGGACAAAACAAAATTGTCCAAATTTTGTTTTTGTGTGTGTTTATGATGCAATACTTTGAAGTATTCCAAGTATTATTTACTTTTGATATTTGTAGGATTTTCTTAAATATTACTAAATAAAACTAAATACCAGTGGCAAATCGTTGTGGGCCACCTGTATCCAGTCCCAACTTTCCTGAGAATTTTTGTATTTTTCCATTGAACATGGAGATCTCTGATACTCATTGATGGTCATCTTATCTTTCCTTCAGCCATTGTGCAAGGGGACACATTAGAAGAGATCTACAACCAGGTTAAGCAGGTCATCGAGGAGCAGTCTGGGCCGTTCATCTGGGTTCCAGTCAAAGAGAAATTGTGAGACGACTGGAGACAAATAAACCTTATTCTTCTTTAAACGGTTTTTTTTTTTCTTCTTTCTTTTTTTTTTTTATACTAACCTGGCCTGCTGCTTGCATTGGCTTTCTGACCCCTGAGTATAGGAAATAAATTTTCTTTGGACGGGCTTGGGGTCATGGTGGCCTCTCTCTCTCTCTCTCTCTCTCTCTCTCTCTCTCTCTCTCTCTCTCTCTCTCGCTCTTTCCACTCCAGCTGCA